AAGGGCTAACTTTGGATGATACATTTATTCATTTGAAAAGTATTAATTATTTTGATCCATGAACATTAACTATATTTCCATTTCCTCAATTTTTCCATACTTTTTTCTGGTATTTCTTTATTTTTTCCTAACAATATTTGGCTTTGATCTTATTAATCTATTCTAAAATGAATTGTAGGTATATTTAAATAAATTATATGCAAATGTTAAAGAAAATTATATGAACTATATTTATTGAGCTCAACATCTGCCTAAAGCACTTGTATACATCATGGAATAGTTAATCTAGTTAGTTAACATAGTCATCCTCTGATATGGTTATCATATTTGTAAAGACATAGATGAACATGATGGACATTAAATAAAATAAAGCAGGGAACCAAATAACAATACCACATGGTATCATTGGTTTGGAATTTTTTTTTTTTTTGGTCGATCGTAGGGCTTGAACTCTGGGCTTGGGCACTGTCCCTCAGCTCTTCAGCTCAAGGTGAGCACTCTACCGCTTGAGCCATAGCTCCACTTCCCACATGGTATCATTGGTATTGGCAACTTCATAAAGTTGATATAATGGAAGTACTGATTATAATGGGATAAGCAGAGTGTGGAGCTTTTAAGGGTAGTATCATGACACACTGTATCATCTAATTACATGTAAGATAAAGTAGTCTCTTTAATACTTATTAAATTTTAGGATCAAACACAATTGTTATTTCTCAAATTGACTTACTTTTCCTAATTTATTAGTGTTCCCTGTGCCTGCAAATACAATCTGAAGCTGAGTTCTAGATATATATATATATATATATATATATATATATATGTATGTATATAACCTGCTATCAAAACTTTTGACAAGGTCTTTACATGCATATTTAGAATACAATGAAGCATTTGGTTTCTTTGCTGAAAAATATAAGCTTTGGTGTGTTAAAAGACATTGTAAAGTGGTTTTAAAATAAAAATAAGCCAAATTGGCAGCCTTCACTTTCCATTTCAAATGATAGTGTTAGCATCAATCAATTTTCACCCTCCTTTCAAAACAGTCTAATTGGTTAGTGTACTGAATCTCTAACCAACTCTAAAAAGACTGATACTTAAACGAGTAATATTAAAACTCTGATCCTTAACCAAAATTCAGATGAAAATGTAAAGAATTTTTCTACCTACTATGAACCAAATATGAATTCTGTGTCATTTGATGCCAGTTTGCAAAAGGATTTCCATCACCAAGGGTTGCTCTTGCAGATTTGGGATTCGATTCAACATAATAAAGTCTTCCAAAAGGAAGATTTTCAATAAGGATTAATTTTGCTGGAAGTATTGTAAGACTCTTTGAAACATTGATTTAAGGAAAAGAAAATGACAAAACACAATTTCCAGTCAATTTTCTATAAGAAATAGTTAACTAGTAACAGAAAATTAAATAATATCAATATATGTTCATTTCAGAAATTCTGCTTTAAAAATAAAAAGCTGGATTTGCTCCAGCTTGAGAAAGCTCTAACTTAGTTGAATTCCGAAGGTCACACGATTCTAAATATTTTGCTATATTCATTGCACATTATTTACTTCTTTTTTTGGGGAGGGGTCTGATCATGGGGGCCTGAACTCTGGGCCTGGGCGCTGTCCCTCAGCTCTTCAGCTCAAGTCTAGCGCTCTACCACTTGAGCCACAGCGCCACTTCCAGCTTTTTTCTTTTTGCTTATGTGGTGCTGAGGAATCGAACCCAGGGCCTCATGCATGCAAGGCAAGCACTCTACCACTGAGCCACCTTCCCAGCCCCACATTATTTACTTCTTTAAAATTTGTCTTGTGCTCTAATTTTCAAAATGCTACTTTCATTTGTTGTTATATAAGTTTATAAGTTATATAAGTTTATGTCATTCAAAAAGGTAACTTCTATATTATCAATAAACAAAAATGAGTGAATAAAAGATAGAATACCCTTGTTAATGTGCGTTATTTTACAATTATTTAAATATTTTAAATCATTTTATTCTTCCTGGAAGTCTTGAGTATACTGAGTAATAAGTGATGAGTAATGAGATAGAATTTGACTTAATGGATTCTCTTAAAGAAAACTATCAATTGGGGAGTAAAAATGAAGGAAATGAATGTGATAAAAAATGATAATAAAAGTAAATGGAGAAATAGTATGCTTTAGGAGAAAAAAATACTTTATGTGTGAGCTCAAGAAAATTTTCTAGAAAAAAAATTTTATGTGTGAAGCTCAAGAAAATTTTCTACTTCAGTTTAATGATAGATAAAAAGACTGACTCATAGTCCGACAATTTTTATTCTTTCAAAACATGGAAGTTACCAAGAGATTTTAAGAGCCCCAACAATCAGTCTTCATTAGATTCATTGAGTATTTTGACGCTCTTACACAGAAAAATGGGTCACCATTCTAAAATATGTTTACTAATTCCTGAAACATATAAATATTACCTTAATTAGAAAAATTATGCATAACCATGTAATTAAGTTTTGGATCTTAACTTAGCCTAGAAATTTAACATTAACTTAGATGCATTCTCTACAGCTTGACTAAATTTTGGTCAAATGTTCCTTACAGCATTTACTATTAACCAGTTATTAAACACCAACCATCCAGTAATATTGACCAACTTTCCTCTATCACCCCCTGCAGGACTTTCTCATTTTACACACTCCAGTACTTAGACAAATATTACCTTTGAGAAAGAGAATTCAGGTGGGTCTCTTTCTCTCTTTTTTACAATAGATTTGAAGAACATCTTCTTTTCCTATTTAAATTGTCTGATATGATTTTCTCTTTGATTACAAAGAATTATTAACTTTAATTATCCCACTAGAATTTAATGCTACCTAAACTAATCTTATAAGACTAGAGGGAAAGGAAGAGTATGCGCAAACTGCTGATGGAGACAAATGCCTACAGAGGCAGGGATTAAGGACCTCATAATAAATCAGGTCTTGTACAGAGTCTCCATAACTGGAAGAGGAAGGGCATGTCTTCCTCTACAGTATCCAAAAATGTTGCTATCTTATTAAAATGTTTCACATCTTTGGCCACAGATAAGTATGAAATAATAAATTTATGATGTTTTAAGCCACTAAAATTCTGAGAATTTATTAAAGCAGGCTTAGAAACACAATGATCAAAAATTTTAATAAACTATAATAAAAATGCTAGTTTCCATCACAATAATCTAGATTGAGCTCTGTCTTTCTCTTTCTCTCTCTCTCTCCCCTCCTTTCTCTCTCTTTCTTTCTCTTTCTCCTTTTCTCTTGCCCTTTCTTATTCCTTCCCTTCACCACCATCTGATTGGGGATGTTGGGAGCAGAATGTCATAAGCTGGACAAAAGCATTGTTTCTATAAAGAAAGGTAATTAAAATGAAATCACACACACACACACACACACACACACACACACACACACACACACACACACACACACATACACACACATATCCCCCCCTCTCTGTGGGAGAAAAATATGAAGTTCTTTTTCTTGTGATTCTCATTGTCCAAATGATAGAATTTAGATAAGCCACTTAAGCACCTGTTTTTAAGGAGAAAGCTGTTTAAATAGATTAATTCTGCCAGAGCCCTAGAGATAATAATGAAATTCCCCAATTTAGGATAAACAGCTTCAGTATGGATTTTTGATAAGGAAACAGCTGCTCATTGAGAAGTAGTTGTAGCTAAAGTCTGAAGGCCATGAGATTTGTCTGTGCTGGAAGAAATGATAAGCAAGGAACAGATGGTTAGCATAAATAATTCAAAAGAGCTTTCCAGTCACTTCTTTAGGGAAAAACCATATGTTGAACTATGTTTACAAGGTTACTTGGTACTTTTGGTAAACAAAGGGTTTCTGCTTCTTTTTCACAATTGACTTCAATAAGAAGTTGAATGATAAAATCTTTAATTAATTAATTAATGTTTGGTACAATTCTTGAGGCTTGAACTTTGGCTCAAGGCTACTACTTAAGCCAGGGCTCCACTTCTAGCATTTTGGTGGTTAATTAGACATGAGAATTCATGTACTTTCCTTCCCAGGCTGGAACCATGATCCTCATATCTCAGCTTTCTACCTAAGATGATAGGCCTGAGCCACTAGCACTCACCTTTAAAGACAAAATCTGTAATTGCGTTACATGTTAGCCTAAAAGTAAATGGTTGTTATGATATTCCATGCATGAAACCAGGTGCAAGTGGCTCATGTTTGGAATCCTACCTAGATTGTAATCCTACCTCCTGATACTCAGGAGGCTGAGTTCTGAAGATCACAGTTTGAAGCCAGCTCAGGCAGGAAAAGTCCATGAGACTTGCAGCTACAATTAACCAGAAAGAAGCTGGAAATGTAATTGTGGCTCATTTGGTAGAGTCCTAGCCTTGAGCAAAAACCTCAAGGACAATGCCCAGGCTTTGAACTTAAGCCCTATTCTCACACACACTCACACACAAACATACACACATACCACACACACACACACACAAACACACACACACACACACACAAAGTATTTCATGTGTTCACATATATAATGTAATCACAATATAATGTAATTAAGCCCTCCAATATACATGTTGTTAGTTCTGAATCAATTTACATTTATTTCACAAAGTTTGCAATATATGCAGAAAATAAAATCAATGTTTTCTAATTGAAAACAAATCTAATTTCTAGCAAATCTAAGTTTTGTTATAAAAATTTAGGTATAAGCTTTATATAGTCCTTGTTCAATAAGGTGACTTTTTTCCTTTCCCTTTCTGAATATTTTTTAAATGATACAATTTTGTACTTTGATGATAATTTCACATATTCAAAAATCTATTAGCAAATCTTGTCTTCATTGTTTTCTTTCATCTAACATAAAAATAGGCATGATGTCTTCTTAACCAAATAATCTTTACTGAATGCTGTATTTTCCTCTGGCACTATTCTGATTTTCATTTTTGTTTTCAGAATTAAAATTCATTCAAAAACCATTTCTGCTATTTATTTTATTTTTTAACATGGAATACTTCATGAATTTGTGTGTCATCTTTGCACAGGAACCATTCTAGTATTTTCTGTATCATTCCAATTTCAGTATATGTGCTGCCAAAATGGGCACCAATTTCTGCTTTTTAATGATTTTTCTCTCCAAGTAATCTTAAACTTATGTTGACTTACACATCATTATGTTGTATTTGGCAGATCATGTTGTCCTCAAGCTATTCATAGGAGGTAACGTGAGAACTGCCAAGATGTCAGAGGTATGAACTTGTTGATGTAAATGTACAGAGGTGCTCATATTTTTGCTGGCAACTCTCATACTCCATTTTCAGAACCAAGATTTATAAGTGTTACAGTTTGTGTCCCTGTACATGAGACATCACCATCAATCAATCACTAATACATTATCCTAGCACCGACTTCCAAGTTTCAGTCATGCTTCCTCGAACATTCAATTTTGTTCCTCTAAGACCATGACAATTGTATTCCCCTACCAATGGCACCGTGTCTTCAGCTAGCAACCTGCCATCTTTAGTCAGGTATGTCACCAGTTGTGGCAGACATAGTTAGACCTCATGGGTGCTATAAATCAAACCATTCAATTGTTTTCCCAATTCCAAAGAGTTTGTTCAATTCTTAGGAGATTTAGTAACTGTATGGATATTTCAGATGGTATTTGAGGAGCCCTTGGAACTTTATAGTGCTCACTTATCTTTAAAAATATTAAACATACCTGTGTGTTCAAGAATAAACAGAAGAATAATTTCTATAGCCAGAATTATAAGAAGGAAGCAGATATCTGGATAATGATACTGAGAAATTTAAAAGATATCATAATAAACTTAATCAAAGTTGTTACTTTAGTTACTATTTCTTGTTTGTTTGTTTATTTTATCGTGTTGGTCCTGAGACTTCAATGAAGAACCTAGGCAGTGTCCCTGAGTGTTTGCACTCAAGACAAACACTATTATATGAACCAAATGTTCTTCCTCTTTTTTTTTTTCTGGTCATTAATTAAAATTAAGAGTCATACAGACTTTCCTGCCGAGGCTAGCTTCCAGCCACAATCCTCAGATCTTATCTCCCTGAATAGATAGGATGACAGGTGTCACATGGCTAGATTACTATTTCTGTATTTAGCAAAGTGATTGGCCTAATGAACTGATCATTTTTCAATTGTTTGTGTCTGGAGATGTGTAGACTTTAAGAAAACTTTAATTATATGCTACCATTCTGTTCTAAATAAATGAATTTTATCCATAATCCAAATTTAGTTCTTCTTTTAAAGATTCTGCTTCATTATATGCATGAGTCTTCATTATATGTGTATGAATGTAGACAAGTGGATAATAACTGTTGAATGTCTTCCTAAGTATTTCTTAAAATACTTACTTTCAGGTCAGAAAACTAGATGCATCCACTGAAACAAAAGTGTCATTCCAAAATCCTTAATATCATACAGATGGATCAATTAGAAGTCTGACAATAGATAAATTTATTAATTAAAGAGGAGAGTCATTTGTCTAGTGAAAAGTACTATTTTAAAGAATCATGAACATATACACTATACTTGGAGTACATAGGTCATCGTGGTGGTAAACAGAGAAAAGCTGAAACTTTCAAAAGTACCATTGGTTTATATAATTATTTATTTCTGAGATTTGAACCTAGGTCCTCTAACTTGCTAAACAGCTGCTCTCCCATACTCTCAAGCCTTTATTCATTTTTGGGGAATGTCTCATGCTTTTGTCTGGAAAGGGCCCCAGGCTAGGATCCCACTTGTGGTCTCCCAAGTGACTGACAGGCACTCTCTACCATTGTCTAGGTTGTTTTCTTGACCTGGGGCCATGCTAATATTTTGTCTGGCTGGCCTCAACCCATGATCTTTTATTAAAATTTTCTACCTTCCAAGTAGTTTGCATTACAGATGTGGGACACTGTATCCAACCTAACTTACTTTCTAACAGGATTAATTCCAGACATGACTGTTCACATTCTGACTTCAATTCCTTCTATTCTGCACCATAATGATTTCCATGGAATTTCAGAAGCAACATTTATGAATTATATTCTCATTAAGTGTCTTATTACACTTTTCTAGTCTTTGATGTGTTTTGAAGCTATAACTTCCATTTAAGGTAGGGCTGTAGTACTTTTTATTAATTCTATGTACCAGGACTGGGACTTGAACTAAGAGCTTCCTGTTTTTACTGGTTCTTTGGCTGATGCCTGACACTTTACCCTACATCCACTCTGACTTCTTACTTGTTATGGGAAAAGAGAGACTCATGGATTTATCTGTTATAGCTGAGTTCAAAAACTGATTGCCATATTTCAGCCTACTGAGTAGCTAGGATGAGACATGAACCAGCACAGCCCAGCTTGAGGTACTCTTAAATACTATATAATTCATTAATTGCACATATATCTATAAACAATGTTTTATTTTATTTATTTATTTGCAAAAAGAAAACTGTATTTGACACTTTAAAAACACAGGGTAGAATTGGAATAAAAAGAGAACAAACAACATTTTTAAAAGACATGCATTCTTGATGTATTTTGTGTTTTAGAAAGAAATCTATTTCTTCAAACTGTAGCTAACTAAGTGCTCCACAGCCTTACATCCTCCTGGGAAGGATTTTTTACATCCTAGAATGTTATCATCAAAGCTGGCTGAGAATTGAAAAATGCTGAGAAATTCAAGCATTGTTTTAAAGATTGTTGAACAGATGTAGTTTCCCCTAGGAGATCTCCTTGATAGTAAATACCTTATATTTCATCTGAGAATTTCAAAGTATCAGTATGCATTTTTGTAAGAGAGCAAGATACTGGGAGGTTAAAAAAGACAGATCAAGCTATGAGAATGTTAACATTTTATCTCTTACTGAAAATTTTTAATACATTTCAAACAGAAATACTGGTGAACATTTATCACAAATAAAAGAATAACCCACCAAAACCAGCACAATGGAATGTAGATTTGCATTTGTGATATATACTAGACTTAAGGGTCTTTATAGTCAGTCATTATATTATACAATACAAATGTGTTTTTGAAATTAAACTATTAAAATACTTGGAAGTATAGATACCATTTTTTCATCTGTTAGTTTGTTTAAAATAATCTATTATTCAAACTAAATTTATATTTAGAAAACCTGGATGTATTTTTACTTACTGAGAGACATGATCGAGACTTACACAATCAGAAAAGTCTTTCCATAATCTATTAAGGTCTAAACTGATTTTGTTATTTTGTACAGTGATTAGTTGTACTTGGAAAATCTACAGGCAAACATTGTGAGAAAAAGCCAGCAATAATGACTGATGGCCTAATGAGGAAATATAAGGTCATATAATAGAAAGAAAGGGGAAGAAGAGAAGTCTTTTGCTTGCTAGAAAGTAGGTTGTATGCTAGCATATCAATATCTTAAAAATATCTTAAAAAATCAATGAAGGATAAACTAAGATTATGATTCATTATGTCTAGTTTCAGAGATCAAAACATAACTGCTTTACAAATTTAGAACAATTTATGGTGGCATTTAGGGAAAAATGTAACAATTCCTTAAAAATTGAAGTTGTTTACCTTCAAGAATGCATGAATAGAATGATAAGCAGATGAACTTGGTCTATCATTGCTGAATTATTATACAGATGGAATCAGATATTGGATGGACAAGAGAAATTATCTAAAATAGAAAGTATTTTTCTAACACTGAACTGTTTTTCTATCAGGAGGGGATTTTTGAATGTATAGGGAAAATCTGACAAGTGTACTTAATGAATTCATAAGTTAATCTGATTCAATTCAATTGTCTGTTTTTAAGAGTTGATTTTGGTGAATATAATTTTTAATAGGAAGTATGATACATTTTATGAATGATCACCAAGACTTTGTCTCCTTCTTCTGTCCTGCTTCCTGTGGAAGATAATGTGTTTCCTACCTCTTGAATTCTAACTTTCCTCTGGAAACGAAATGTGAAGTTAAATACAAACCACTCCTAAGCAGAAGGTCTTTAAGCCAGGATGCACTTTCTCTTTTCTACTTGAAATGTTCCCACACACAAGTCAGAGATTGCTTCTAAAACCTGGAATTCTGAAGTGTCAAAGGTAGAGCTCAAGGGTAGCCTGTTGTATACATGCATTCGGAAGGATAAATCAACTTTCCCAGTTTTAAAACCCCTAAGCTTCTGAGCTTTGCAATCACCTCACAAGTTGAGATTCTCTCAAGAGGAGTGGTTGTTTGTTTTTGGAATTTGGTGGAATGACTTGTTAAAAAAAAAAACACAGGTATGCAAGAAGAAGAAAATGGTTGCATGCACATAGCTGCAATGGGCCTGTGGACAAGGGAGTATACATTATTGTGATTTCATAAAGACAGATCAAGACTGGCAGGTATTAGAAATATCTAATAGTGCTGTAATTTTGTGAGATGCAGAAAGTAGAAAATACATAAGAATTTTATAAAAGGGGGCTGGGAAGGTGGCTCAGCGTTAGAGTGCTTGCCTCGCATGCATGAGGCCCTGGGTTCAATTCCTTAGCGGCACATAAGCAGAAAAAATTGGAAGTGGCACTGTGGCTTAAGTGGTAGAGTGCAAGCCTTGAGCTGGAGAGCTGACAACACCCAACTCCAGAGTTCAAGCCCCACAATGGACAAAAAAAAAAAAAAGAATTTTATAAAATATTCTTAAAAATAAAAATGTGCACAGAGAAGCTCAAACTCAGCCTCCTCAGCTTTGTGATCCACTGATAGAAGGTTTGACAAGCCAGCCACTTCAATCCTGTCACTTTTCTGAGTTGAAGCATGACTTTGTACTTCAGTGGTGTTTGGGAGAATTTATCTTGTTATTGTTGGTGTTGTCTTACATAGCCTGTGCAGCAAATTTGGCCAACCTCTATAGGATGACACTTGTTCAGAGTTCACACCACATAGCTCCCTGACAACCTGACATAACACCACACATTTGTTTTGCTGCCAATTAACTTCAAGATCTTTCCACTAACACTTTGTCAACTCTTTAAATGTAGCACTGACTTTTGCCAATAGAGGGTTATTTCTTCTTCAAAGCTGGCTGTTAAGATCATGCTAGCAAGATAACAAAAATTAAATGG